TGTGCGTGCGTGTGTGTGTGCGTGCGTGCGTGCGTGCGTGCGTGCGTGCGTGCGTGTGTGTGTGTGCATGTGTGTGTGTGCGTGCGTGTGTGTGTGCGTGCGTGCGTGCGTGCGTGCGTGCGTGTGTGGGTGGGTGTCACGCGTTACGTAAAATCGGCTTTATTTATCTTGCACCTAACATTTCTGACATGTACAGGCAACTGTGTGACTGATATGTTAGCGTTAATGCTACGGGCGCGTTTGCATTTTGCAGTTGATCTGTTCGTACGTATTCCGTCCTGTGGCATTTCTCATGGGGGTCGAATGGTCGGACTGCGGCATCGTGGGAGAGCTGCTCGGCACTAAGACGTTTATCAACGAGTTTGTGGCGTATGACATTCTTGGAAAATACATACAAGACCGAGAAGATTGCATCCACCCGTATCTGTCAGTAAGTGCGTAATAATAACTTTAGCAAACACGTCGATCCATTTAGAACTCTGTGTTCAGTCAGCACTTCGTTCCATTCTCTATTATGCGGATTTGGAGCATACGCTAACAAATCGGGTATAATGCATGGACCCAAATATGCATAAAGTGCGTCGGGATTGCCGGTTTATTGTTCTCCATTGTCAATATATAATTGTATTGTATAAGCCCGGCGCACACGTGAGTTATTTTACCCAAGTAAAATGACGCATGAGTCATTTTACTCACGTGATTTTCGTTGCAACAATTTTCGTTGAGTAATTTGACTTATGCGTCATTTTACTTGAGTAAAATAACTCACGTTTGCGCCGGGCTTTACTTTTAAAGTATATTTTTTATTTCAGATTAATAATTAAAAATATTATAAATTTTTAATTATTATAATAATGGAATGAACAATTTTACGTAATTATTATTACGTTAATATTTTAAATGTAATTAAATAATTAATAATAATAGTTAATAATAAGCTATCATTTTGTAACATGCACTTGTAAAATTGGCGGACAAGAAACAGAGGAAACGAAGCAGGTCATGATTACTGCGATGAGGTGGTGATAGCATTATACAGGAATCGAGTCAACCACGCCTTAATATTCACTATTACGCAGTACCTCCTACCATATGCTATCTGAGGTTATTTTATATTACAAAGGAATAAAGACAATCAGCTAAAAATATATCTATAAGAAATAAAGGCTGAATTCCCGTTACTGTATGAAGCAAAACATTATTGTGATTCAATATAAATAGAAACAAATTTGCACGGAGGTTTCACCGATATGTACACTTTACTGCAATATAGGCAAACAAATACATTTTCATGCAACCAAATTGAGTTTATGTATTTTGTAAATATATGAAATAGCATTCCCACATAACTTATACCCCGATAATTGGCATTTCTTTGTTAATTCTAACGTTTTTTTTTTGTTATAAAAAAACCACATAAATATATCACAAAGAAAACGTTTCTATATAAGGCAAATAAAATATAAGATTGCGAACAAAACTGAATCAAATAACTTCAGTGCATCTTTGATTCATTTGATTAGATTGGTAGATCGTATTAGTTTCTTAGATTTAACTGATTAGCTAATGACTATCGGCTATGAGATAATAATTGTTGTACAATAATGCTCACATTGGAAATAGTGGAAATGATGTATAAAATAATAGTTATGGTAATGTCTAATATATAGTTAATCTAGTATTGGTTATATTTTTTAATAAAATATCGGTATGCTGATTTATCTAAATTATTCCCCTTTCATTGCAGCCTAGATCCGAAGCCATTGCGACATATGCTCTCTGCGGATTTGCTAACTTTGGTTCTATTGGAATGCAACTGGGAGGTCTTGGAGCGATGGCTCCCAGCCGCAAGCATGATTTGGCTTCACTTGCTATCAGAGCACTGATCGCTGGTAGCATGGCCAGCATAGTCACAGCATGTGTGGCAGGTTGGAAATATACACTGAATTTACATCTTGTCGCCTGTGTGGTTTACACGTACACGCTGGAAATACACGTGCATATATTTTTCCATTTATTAATAACATCTCATTTGGCCATAAAGCTAGTTGATTTTCTACTCGAAGGCTAACTTTTCAATTTTTAGCAAAGACTTTAATGATCATGTAAAAACGTGTGAAACGTCTTCATATAGTGTTATAATTGTATGCCTTTATACACACGATGTGTAGGTTAACATGTTTGCTTTTACTTTCACTAGGCTTGCTGATGGACGAAATGACGCATGATGACATGATCGCAAGCAACATCACTTGCGTACAAAACGGTACGAGGTTCCATGTAGCATCTGACTGGTACAAACTTGGATAGCATCGTATTCGTCTGTACTGATATATATATATACGAAAATATATGAGTATACACCAGCTAGAGAGAAAAGGCAGAACGTTTAGACCAGATAGTAGAGAGATATAATGACAATGACTATAATTGTAGTGTTATCTACGCTTGGGAATCAGTAAATATTTGTACATATTTCAATTGGATATAATATAAAAATGAAAGATTGGGCTGGAGGCGTTTGACGTGTATAAAAATGCGTTTTGTTTCAGTAATATCACATTAGTGATTGGATTCTGATCATCGTTCTTAAAACTATCATGTTTCATTGAAATCGAACTAATAAAATGTAATAAAGTGATTACAGAAATATATCGAGTTACCAATGTTCGTTTGCTTTTGATTACGTGTTTTTCATTAACCTTACGTGTGTTTTTGATTAAACTACAACCACGACGTTTCGGTTTACTTTCGTTCTATTAAAACTCTCTCACCTCTTCTCCCACTATCGCTCTCTTTCTCTCTCTCTCTCTCTCTCTCTCTCTCTCTCTCTCTCTCTCTCTCTCTCTCTCTCTCTCTCTCTCTATCGCTCTCAGTCGAGTTTTCTCACTCTCTCT